CAGACCTGGTCTCCTTGCCATAAAGAAGGCGTTTCACCTCCAGCAGGTCTGTGGGCGGCAGGTGCTTCTCCAAGCACTGCTCCAGCGACTTCCATTCAGGCCCAGCCATGGCTGAAGACCGCAAGCTCCCGACGTCCAGACCCAAACTGCCTGCCCTTTACCCCCGGGGGAGGAGGAGGAGGGAGAGGAGGAGGCGGCTGCCAGGCCCGCGTACCTGCCCAGGGCTCCAAGCTCTACCCTTCGGCCTCTGGGGGGCTCACTGAGAACACGCCCCTCCTCGTGCCTCCGCAGCAAGCAGCCAATCAGCGCTCCGGAGCTTCGCGGGTGGTCCCGCCCCTTGCCCTTCGCACCTCCTTCCGCACGCGCCGGGACACGCCCCCTCGGCCACCCGGCCGCTCCGAGCCCTCGCGCCTCTGCTGCTGCGGTTCCGTGGCCCTCCGAGGCCCTCGAGCCGGTTCCCAGGGCCGGTTCCTGGCCCCTTTGCTCTCGTTCGCCTTCGGGTTCCACCTCTCACCTGCCCCGAGGTGTAGGGGCGGGACCGACAGCCTGGAGACTCGGCGGTGAGGGAGGCTGCGGCGCCGGTCTGAGGTAAAGGGCCGGCCCACCGCGGCGCCGCTTCCGCCCTCTTGGACCCTTGCGGGGCCAGTTCCCGCCGCAGCCCGTGGGCAGGGCCTCTCCCCACCGCGACTTAAGTTGCCGGTCGGCAAAATGGGGACAACAAGCCCGCGGGCCCGCCGCACGGGACTGCACTAGAAGGTACAGGACGAGTTTCAGTGTCCCAAGGGCAGGAGGCTGCCCCTCCGTCTTCCAGTGCCCCTTATTTCTGAGAATTTCTAACCCCCGAGGGGCCCGACCCGGAGTCCTGGCCGCGCGCCCCAGCCCGGGCTTCGGCCTCGGAACCCTGGGCCGTGCCTGCATCGCTTGAGCGAAGGGTCAAATGAACCCATGAGCTTTCGTTAAGTTAATACTGCAAAATGCGGGGTCCCCCGCACAGGGGCTCACCCTCTGGACCCTTGGGCCCCTTTCAGTTTTGCCATCTGCTCCGGGTGTTTCCACGTGGGCACTTCTCTGGGAGGGAGGCGCTTGAGACTGTCGCTGAAGTGATAGGTGTGTGAGGCCCCTCTTGCAGTTCCCTGGGATCCAGAGGGCGCTACCCCCTCAGGAGCCAAAGAAGGGCCTCTTTGCAACCCTGCTGAGAATTAGAACAGTAAGACCAGCCTAACAGGCTGGCACCGTAGTGAAGGAACATGTCGGCCCAGTTTAGCCATTTGCAAACCTTGTAACCTCAGGAAAGTTATTCAGACATTGAAAAAGTAAGATAAGAACAAAGGTGTTGAAGGGCCAAAGACTTTAGATATTTTATATGGGCCACTAACTCAACTTTTGGTCATTGTTTTGATAAAGGTTAACAGAGTTTCCAGCATCCGATGGAGCTGCCTTTTCAAGAATGCAAAACTTGACTGAAGGCTTTTACATACAAGGTTCTGCGATAAGGGCAATACACACAGATGATCAAGACCTAGTCCATTTTCTCCATGATTTAAGGTAGGGACATACTTGTAAATACGGCAGATTTAAATAACTTGATATGAAAAGGGTATACAGTATGCTATGGAGCTCAGAGCAAGGGGCGATTTCTGGCCTAGAAAAAGAAACTGTTTAAGGCCTCATGGAAGAGGCCTTATTGTTGACTCAAAATGCCTTGACTACTCTTATCTTCTGTACGCTATTTTCTATTTTAGTTAGTGGCCTCACTGCCCACTCATTTCCCAAGCCTTTGGAAGTCATCCCCAACTCCTATGTTCTTTCTTTCCCCCATACAGTCAAACATCAAGTTCTGCTAAACTTACCTCCTGAATTTTGTTAAAATCCTTACCCCTCCCACCTTATGCTGGCAATCATGTCATCTTTTGCTTGAATTGTTACCAGTCTTCTAATCTACCTCTGGTGTCTATTCTTAGTTGTCTTTCTAAAGCTAGTATCTTAACCTTCCTTTGTATCCTCTCATTCAGTGTCTCCCTACCTGGAATGACTTTCCATCTTCTGTTTTGTGAACTCCTACTCATCCTCAAGAGGCAGTTCAAATATCACCTCTGGAAAGTCTTCTCCAATTTCTCCAGGAAAAGTTGGATTCCACTATCCCTTTATGAACACCTCTATTAGAGCATTTATCAAACTCTATTGTGTAATTACTTCTGACCTCTGGGCAGGAACTAGGTCCGGTCTACTTTTATATCGATAGTGCTTTGGCACTCAATAAATGATAGTTGAAGGAATTAATTCTGATGAGATCAGGACAGATTCATTAAGGTGCTGACATTTGAGTTGAACCTTGAAGCAGAAGTAGAAACTATTATTACTAGTTAAATTGCTTAATTCATCTTTCCCTATTGTTAGGTGACAAGCCATTCACATTAGGCCATTATAAACCAGGGTTTCAGCAGGAACTGCACTGGACTAGAAATCCAAGGACTCGGGTTCAGCCCTGGTTCTACACATTTTCTTCATCTATAAATGAGGATAATAAAGTCCATCCCACTTTCTTTGACTTGAAAGAATCAAATAAGCTAATTTAAAATATCTTAGAAAAATCTATATAGTGTTATCTCTATGTTATTTGTAATCGAGGAAAAGGTGTTTCAATATAATATTCTCATGGGAAATCATAACTATGCCATCCTTAATGTACTGAATACTTATCTTTGAGGTATTTCTCTAGTAGTAATATTGAATCACTTATATTCTTCCCACCAGTTCTTCCAGTGATAAATAGCATACCTTTTAAAGGAGTAATTTTGATGAAGGCTGCAGTCTGAGGCCATGAAATATAGCAAAGCTGATTAGTGTGAACCCTGAGAAGAAAAAATTTAGGAAAAACACCCATTAACTAAGAAGGGCTCCTGGTGGTTAACTGGGCTCAAATAAAAATAAACATTAAAAAAAGCAGCCCTGGCCAATGCGTTCAGTGGTTAGAGCCTCAGCCTGCACACCGAATGGTCTTGGGTCTGATTCCGGGTCAAGGGCATGTACCTTGGTTGTGGGTTCACTCCCCACTCCCGGTTGGGGCATATACGGGAGGCAACCAGTAGATGTGTCTGTCTTGCATCCATGTTTCTCCCTCTCTCTCTCCCCTCCACCCCCCACCCCCTTCCCTTCCACTCTTTCTGAAAAACAATGGAAAAAATATCATGTGAGGATTAACAAGACACACACAAAAAAAGCAAAGCCTAGCAGGCATTTCTGCACAGGGACTCTCATGCAAACTGCACTTCCCAGAGAAGCTCCTCTGCACTAGACTGCCTGCCCTGAAACCACCTGCTAAACTTCCTGCCTGCACTGAGCCAGCCCTTATAAAGGTTTCCTGGAATCCTATTCCAACCAATAGGAATAAGCCTTTCCCTATCCAGTCAAAGCTGCCCAGCTTGGACCCATCAGAGTGGCTCTGTTCTGACCAATCAGAACAATCATACAGTGAGGATTTGGCATCCTCATTTGCATAAGGACAGTCAGAGACCATTGGTGGGGACTTCTGTCTATATAAGTCAGCTTCACTGTGGCTGGGGGAGTGCATTTTCCACCTAAGACTTTGTTTGGTAGCAGAGCCCTCAGCCCTGCTATTTGTACAGCCCAAGCTGTATTATTGTTGAGCTGTTTGCACGAAATAGTTTCCTTCTTCACTCCTTCCCCAATTGGAGATCCCTATTGGCATTGATTTGGTGCCAATGACCATTGACTATCAGTTGACACTAGCCTAAGCTGAAATCTAGTCCATGACCCATCACTAGTTAAGCTAATCATTTGGGCTAGAAAACTAAAAAAATAACTCTATGGGGATTAAGAGACTGAGCAGGTACACAGCTGTGCATAGCCAAAGGGTGAAAAAAGGGTATAGGTTTAGATATTTGTTAAATATTAAGATTGCAAAATCAGCCCGGCCAGGGTGGCTTAGCAGTTGAGCATCCACCTATGATCCAGGAGAGTTCAGTTCAATTCCCAATCAGGGCACATGCCTGGGTTGAGGGCTCCATACCCAGCAGGGGGCGTGCAGGAGGCAGCCAATCAATGACTCTTATCATTGATGTTTTTCTCTCTCTCTCTCTCTCTCTCTCTCTCTCTCGCCCCCCTCCCTTTTTCTCTCTGAAGTCAATAAAGATATATTTTAAAAATAATAAGAATGCAAAATCTACCTTGGCTAGTGTTGCTCAGTGGTTTAGAGTGTCTGCCTGTGCACTGAAGAGTCATGGGTTCAATTCTCGGTCAAGGGCAGGTACCTGGGTTGCAGGTTCAATCCCTGGTCCCCGTTGGGGCGTGTGCAGGAGGCAGCCAATCAATGTTTCTCTCTTTCTCCCCCTCCCTGCCTTCCACTCTCTCTAAAAATCAATGAAAAAAATATCCTTGGGTGAGGATTAACCAAAAAAAAAAAAAGCAAAATCCCAGGTTGAATTTTTGCGACACAAATTTCATGAAGTATCAACATGGTAAATAAACCTTTTTCTCCACCTCCTTCTCCCCCTAGAACAACTGCACAAATATTAGCAGCAAACAGTATTAGCATATTTTAGCCCCAAACAGTTATTTCCAACAAGTGATCCAAAGATGAAATAGGCTGCCTCTGCAGGCGGTGAGTTCTCAGCCAATATGGAAGTTCAAGTACTGTCCAAATGACCACTTGGTGGGAGTGTTGTAGAAGAAAGTCATCAGATGGGTCATTGAACCAGTATATTGCTTTAACATGAATCAAAAAAACCAGGGATGTTAAGTCCAAAGAGCCATAAACAGACCGTAGAACAATACAAGACAGTTTGGTATATAAAGAAATGAGTCAAGAAGTAAAAGGAAGACTCCATTATTAATAGTAGTAGTTGTGTATTTGTGTGGCTTTTTAAAAAAATTAAAATAATTTCATTTTTAGAGAGAGAGCTAAACATCAATCCTGCACGTGCCCCAACCCAGGATTGAACCTTCAACCCTGCAACCCAGGCATGTACCCTGACTGGGAATCGAACTGGCAACCATTTGGTGCATGGGATGATGTCCAGCCAACTGAGCCACACCTACCTGGGCTAGTTGGTTTTAAAGGAAAAGGATCACTTTTATTGCTAGTATATGTGGACTTCAATTCTGGGAACTAATGGTGACAGGAGTTCTGGTCCCAGAATCAGAAGATGAAACAAGTAT